AAAGGTGGACAGAACTGAATATTTGGAAGCCAGGAAGCTTGTGAGGAGGTAGGTCATTGCAGTAGATCCAAGGGTAAAGGAATGAGAACCTGAACTCATTGAAGTGAAGATGGAAAAGAAGGGATACATGATAGGTAAAAATAAAACAAAACAAAAAACATTTGGAGGTGTTTGCCATATTTTGACATTCTGGGATAGACTTTTTTCACATTATAACTGAAAAAAAATTTTTGTAATGTTTATTTTGAGGGAGAGAGAGACAGAGTGCGAGCGGGGAGGGCAGAGAGAGAGGGAGACATAGAATCCGAAGCAGGCTCCAGGCTCTGAGCTGTCAGCACACAACTTGACGCGGGGCTCGAACCCACAAACCATGAGATTGTGACCTGAGCCGAAGTCGGACACTTAACCGACTGAGCCACCCACGCGCCCCTTCACATCATAACTTTTTGAAACCTGGCTGTATCTTACAAGTGATGGCATATTACAGTTGTATTTGGCAGCATTTTCCATTCTGTTTTCTTAGTGGCACATAAAATATTGGTGCATCTTAAAGTCTCTGGCTTCTTAGACTTGATACATGATACCAGAATTTGGTGAAAGATTGGATGGTGAGCGTAAGTGAGTCAGAGATAGCTCTGAGTGCTTTAGCCCAAGTAATGAGGCAGTACTGCCATGAACTTAGATGAGGAATGCAGCAGGAGGAGCAAATGTGCGGAGGAGGCCAAGTTCAGTTTTGAACATGCTGTGGTTGAGGCAGCTACAAGATCCTTCCATGGTGTTAGCTCCTAAGCATACGGAGATAGTAATGTTATTACCTTTTCTTTTCTTTTCTTTTTTCTTTCTTTCTCTCTTTTTTTTTAGGATTGTTTTGTGGTATTCTCTGTATTTACATCTTTACATTTCTAAATCTTAATGCCTGAATGAAAAGTACACTGAGTTAAACCACTGTTTTCAGAGGCAGAAGCTCATTGTCACTAAAGGGCTTGCCCAAGATCGAACAGCTCAAATGGCAGAGCTGGAGTTGGCCCCAGGTTTATCTCTCAAAGCCTAAGCTCTGCCACTTACTGAGGTCCAGTTACAGAGGGTTCTCAGGAGTTGTCATAGGAAAGATGTTAACATCATGTGATACATGAGATTAAGAGAGGAAATAGAACTATGCCAGATAAGATGGCCCAGGAAAAAACATTAGAGAAAGCAGCTCTACCACCTCCGGTATTTTGATTAGAAGCAACTTACCCTCTGATCCTCTTTTCATTGTGACTCCTCTCCAGCATTACTTCAGCCTTATCAAGACCAGTTCATTGGCTCTATGAACATCGCTTTTTCACCGTCATCATTACCATTCATACACTCATGTCCCTTGTTAGCTGTGGACATTTATGGTCATCATTCCCTTGTCTCTCTCTTTCTCCTTGGCAAAAATCCAACTCTGAGTAAACTGTACTACTCATTTGCTTCCTGCCTGAAACTGAACAGGTAAAAATCGGTAAGAAAAATACACATCTATGTTCAATTGGTCTTAGTTTATAGTCAAAACCACAGATCTCAAATAGGAACTCAACAATGTTTGGCAATCCTGCCAAAATTACTAGTAAGTTTACTTTTTCACTTTTTAAAATAACTGCTTTTATACTATTTTCTCAAGTTGATATCCCTACCCAGCTTCTCACTCTCAATTGGTAACCTCACCTTGTATTTAATGATAAAATATAGGCATTTGGAACAGTTAGATATGAGTTCTCTCATTTCCATCAGCAGATCTTCCAACCTTTGCATTTGTTCTCACACCCTGAGTCTTCCCTTTTGTTACAATGAAAGACAGATCCTCAATCCCATAAAAGCCAAACCTCTGCTTTGTGCTTTGGATTTCATTACCTCTTGACTTCTTAGGGACTTTGCTGCCTATGGCTCTGATCCCTGCTTTTCTTTCTTCATCATTAATATTCCCTCCTTACCATAACATTCCCATTGGCATTTCTTATCATGGTCTTATTTTTATGCTCACTCCTTTACAGCAAAACATGAAAGAATTGTCTATATTCTGTCATCACTTCACCTTCTCTGTCTCTCAGACTTCAATTAAGTTTCCACCCCTATCATTCACTGAAACAGTGCTTGTCAGTGACACATCACAATGACTTCCATGTAATTAAATCCCATAGTCATTTCTCTGTCCATATCAAGCTCATTTTCTTCTTATTTGACATGCTTGGCTACTGTCTTCCTCTTGAAAAACTTTTCTTGGCTTCTGTAAGACTAGTTCCCTTTGCTGTTGCTCCTTTTTTTCCTTCCTCTGCTTCCTGGAATGCCTTGTCTCCAGCTACTCTGCCCATGGAAGGGATCTCCTCCAGTCCTGTAGCTTTAATTTTTTATGCCAGTGATTCTCAGATTCTGCGTTGTCCATTTAAAAGTCACCCTGGCATCACAGATTTAATATAGCCAAAACAGAGTTCTTGATTTCCACCACCTATAAGACTCCTCTTCCTCCACTTTTCTCACCTTAGTTAATGATAGTACCAACCATTGTGATGTCCAAAACCTTTTTTTAGATTGGAGAGGTATTTAACCTTAGTTGTGGGAGCAGTTACAGAGAAAATACTGATTGCTTTTATGGGGTGCCTGGGTGGCACAGTCGGTTGAGCGTTTGACTCTTGATTTGGGCTTAGGTTATGATCCCAGGATTGTGGGATGGAGCCCCGCATCAGGCTGCGCACTGAGTGTGGCATCTGCTTAAAATTCTCTTTCCCTCTCTCCCCACCCCTCCTCTTTCTCTCTCTCTCTCTCTGTCCCCCTCCCTCCCTGTACCCCTCTCCCCTGCTCATGTTCTATCTCTACAATAAAAAAAAAAAAATACTGATGGCCTTTAAATGAGCTTCTAATGAGGGAAGCCTGTAGTGAGTAGGAGACCATCTTGAATCTCCTTAAATGTGCACAGTTTTATGTTTTGACCATTGGCTTTCATCCATTTTATATGAGTTCATGACTTAAAAAAAAAAAAAAAAAGACATTAAATCGCTGCTTTAAAAGCCCAAGAAGATAAGTTTTCTTTCATTAGCTGAGTTTCTTAATTTAGGGGTATATGTACTTCTAGGAGTATTGCAGGAATGTGGTGTGTGTGTATGTGTGTGTGTGTTGCAGGAAGCTACAGGCTAGATAAGGCAATATCTTTTTGGTATGTAGTTTGAGAAATTTTTTCTTCTTAAAACATTTCATGACTTAAAGATGAAATTAAAACACCCAAAAATATATAATGGTCTGGACTCGGATGCATCACTTGACTTTTTAGGAAAAAACAGAACCTGCAAAGGAAGTTCCAACTTGTCTGCCTCTTGAGACTCTGACCAAGAATACGTCCTAGATAAACATTCACTCCTTGCTCTGTAGGTAGGCTCACTTTAGAAGAAGAGTTTGAGAAGCTGTCCTTCATGGTCTCATTCATTCATTCAGATCAGTCCTGTCCAATCATTTGAACTGAATGAATTAGAATTGGTTTCTCTAAAAGGAAGTCTAAATGCATGCTGAATTATCTTCTCTTATTTAGTTTTCGTATGTTAGTGTTCATAATCCAGGGAGCATCTAAACGTTTGGAAAGCCAGACAAAGACCAGAGAGTGAGTGAGTGAGTCCGTCCTTCCTTCCTTCCTTCCTTCCTTCCTTCCTTCCTTCCTTCCTTCCTTCCTTCTTTCAGGTTTATTTTTTTTATTTTGAGAGAGAGTGTGTGTGAGCTGGGGAGGGGCAGAGAGAAAAGGAAAGAGAGAATCCCAAGTAGGCTTCATGCTGTCAGCGCAAAGCCCGATGTGGGGCTTGAGCTCAAGAATTGTGAGATCATGGCCTGAGCCGAAACCAAGAGTCTGACACTTAACCAGCTGAGCCACCCAGGCACCCCAACCAGAGAGTTCTTCACAGTGAGACTGAAAATGATTAGCTGCCTATCTTGAACTGCCGTACACCTGTGATTTCTCTGAGGGCGGAGACCCCTTTCAAATGAACGAATACTCATAGTGTCTTTCTGAGGCAGATATAGGACAGCACAAGCGTTTCCTCTGCAGAAAGTGTTTTGTGGTGGTTCTGTCTCTTCCTTATCTCTCTACTTCCTCTGCTTTCTCTTGATCTTCTGGTCTCTAGTGCAGGACTCTCAAATGGTATTTTTATGATTAGAACAGGAAAATATTGAAAATGCTGTAAAGTGTTTTGAGTCCCACAGTAACATTTCTTTGTAAATCAAGTGAAAGCCTAAGCATTTCGGTGTTATTTTGGTTTCTATTTTAAAATTTTTGCTGGTTGAAGAATATTAAGTCATTATTCCCTCCGGCAAGTTCCCTACCTAATTAATGTTAAATACTGTCTTAATAGCAGTTACTTAATCTGACACATTTTTTTGAGTACCTACTGTGTATTAGGCTGCCTTCTAGGCATCAGGGATTTAGGCATGAATGAGACGAAGGAAGTTCTTGCTCTCATGCAGCTTCCTTTCTAATGGAAGAGATAGACAATAAATACATAAACAAACTAGTATCAGGTAGAAAACTGAAGTAATTTCTCTCTTCTATTTTCTGTCTTATAAAACAACTACACACAGTCAAAACACATAGTTAATCCTGACTGAGCCACCTAATTGCTTCACACTTTGGTTACCTTATTTGTGATGTATGTTTCCTGTGTTTACTTCACAGGATTATTTAAAACAAAACAAAAACAGAGAAAGTGCATGTGAAAGCCCTTTGTAAAATATAAGACGACATAAATGTAAAGTATTAGTATTTGTGCTTGTTTAAATGGAGTCAGAGATTTGTGTGTTTAGTGTATGTCCGTATTTCCATCAGCACTGTTTGCTGTTTAAATTATAAACCAATGTTTTTTATAAATGCTAGATAATTTCCTTTTAAAACACCTACTCTACTGTATTCTAGAGAAGCAATTTTTTTTGCCCTAAACTAAACCTATTGGGATTCTAGTTATGACTGTTGCCCTGTACTAAAAGTAATGTTTCTGTTTTCAAAGGTACGCCAGCCTGTCATATGCATCAACAACCATGTATTTTGTTCAATTTGTATCGATTTGTGGTTGAAGAATAATAGCCAGTGTCCAGCTTGCAGAGTCCCCATCACTCCTGAAAATCCTTGCAAAGAGATTATCGGTAAGGGCCTATTTTATAAACATATAGAAACAGATTTGAAACAATCTCTAAATAGTGTATATTTGGAGGAAGACGAAAATAGACAGTTTTCACTGATGTCATTTTGCCATTATCGAAGTACTAGTAGGACTTGGAACTAAGAAATCTGAAGAAGAATCAGAGATTGTTCCAAGGTTACTTTCTTGGGTACCTGGGTAAAATCTAGTAGAGGAGTATTTTTCTGCTGTGAACTTTGTTGATGAAAATAATTTGAATGTATTTCCCCAGCTTCTCTTCACGTCCCTCTCCTGCCTTTGTTCATTCTTATATAAGTGATACTTCATAAATTCTCTCAAGTAAAATAGTTCAGGCATCCTTGTATTTGGATAGAATGTCCTGAAAAACAACATCTGTAAGATGCCTTTGCTATCATGATACTAAGAAGTACAAAGAAAATAACCATAGCATAAGTAAAGAGCTCTCAGGAAGAATTCATTTTGAGTGTACTTGTATTGAGTTATGCGCATACAGTTAATGCTGTTATTCATAATCCATTGTAACTGGGTTATTAGATTCAGTAAAAAGACACATTAATCTTTTTATTTGTGTTACCAGTAACTAGGTATGTTTGAATACATTGGTTATAATAATATTTATATCCTATATGATTATATATGATGTATATAGGTAAACATTTGATAATTGTATGAAATTTAAATTGGTAATATGGATAATATATTAATATAATCATTGGTTATATTGTATCATTGATAATTGTATGAAATTTAAATTGGTAATATGGATAATATATTAATATAATCATTGGTTAAATATAAATATAACCATTGGATTTATATTATTTAACATTTGTCTTGTATTCAAATTTTGCAGTAGTACAAATGTGACAACAAAATATAGCCTTTGCTTTCATTGAATTTAATAAGATACACAGGTAAGTAAACACACATGATATTTTATTGAAGGTATTTCTTGTGGCATTATTTGATATTTATCTTTTCTCAAGATCAAGATAGAGAAAAGGCCTAAGTGACAGCCCCAAGTATGAAGAAATTAAGCTGGAGAACCATATAAAACAATAAGAAAAAAGTTTATCTTTGTTTTCATACTGTTTAAATCACAAAGAAAGTTACTTTTTTTTTTTTTGTCCTGTAGGAGGGACAAGTGAAAGTGAACCTATGCTAAGCCATACAGTCAGGAAGCACCTTCGGAAAACTAGACTTGAGTTACTCCACAAAGAATATGAGGTAAATAATACTTACAATTTAAAATGAGGACAGCATTGAATTCAAGGTAAAACTGAGCTGTCTCAGTCTCTGGACTTCTTAGAGTAAACATCCAATGAAATCTTATTTTATCTTATTTTTTAATGTTTATTTCTGAGAGAGAGAGAGAGAGAGAGAGACAGAGCATGAGCAGGGGAGGGGCAGAGAGAGAGGAAGACACAGAATCTGAAGCAGGCTCTAGGCTCCGAGCTGTCAGCACAGAGCCCAACGTGGAGCTAGAACCCACAAACTGTGAGATTATGACCTGAGCTGAAGTCAGACACTTAACTAACTGAGCCACCCAGGTGCCTGAAATCTTATTTTAGATGCCAATTTAAATATATATTATTTGAGGGGCGCCTGACTGCCTCAGTCAGTAAGGCATGCGACTCTTGATCTCAGGGTTGTAAGTTCAAGCCCCATGTTGGGTAGGGAGCCTACCAAAAAAAAAATACCTTATTTGATGAACTTTTTTTCTTTTTTCCTTTTCTATTTCAAATAGAAGACAGCAACAAATACAAGCATTTCTTTTTTCCTTTCTTTAATTTCAAATTTGTCAACAGACATCATTTTATAAGTATTTGCTCCCTCAAGAAGTTGGGAAACAAAGGAAACTCACTTGTTAAAGTCAGTCTTCCAGCCCCCACAAGGCATTATGAATGCTCTGGTAAACAGTGACTATAACCTTCATTCCATTTGGTTTGTCTATTAACTCACTGATAATTTATGCTCGTTAGTTTTGGTAAAGTAAATATACTTATGTCAGCTACCAGCAAAGAGATTTTGGTGTGAAATATGCTATTTTCTATTTTTTTTTTTTTTTTTTTTTGCACGTTAACCGTGATTTTTTTTTAATAAAAATTGCATGTATTTAAGGGGCACAACATGATGTTTTGATATACATATCCATTGTGAATGATTGCATTAGTCAAGTTAATAAACATAGCCATCTCATCATATGCTTTTTTATTTTTGTGCTGTGAACATCTGAAATATGCCCTGCTAGCAAATTTCTAGTATTCAGTACTACAATATTCTGATATTCAGCCTACAGTATTAACTGTAGTTCTCATGCTGTACATTAGATCTCTAGACTTACTCATCCTACAACTTTGTATATATTGACCCATCTTGTTTCTTCCACCTCCCCATCTGCCCTACCTCCCTACCCTAGATAACCACTGTTTAACTGTCTGCTTGTATGTATTCAGCATTTTTAGATACCACATATAAGTAGCATCATGCGGTAGTTTTCTTTCTTGTGAAGGTGATTTGACATGGGAATGGAAATTTTCCAAATTAGTTTCATGCTTATGGCATATGTATGTTTTTGAATAGTAACCATTAAGCCCAGTTGTTATTTTATGTTGACTAAGGAGGGGATATTATTAATCTCTTATTTTGACACAGAATATTTTTTTAAATTATTGTTATTTTTTTTAATGTTTATTTAAAAAATTTTTTTTTAACATTTATTTATTTTTGAGAGACAGAGCACGAGCAGGAGAGGGGCAGAGAGAGAGAGGGAGACACAGAATCCGAAGCAGGCTCTAGGCTCTGCGCTGTCAGCACAGAGCCCGATGCAGGGCTCAAACCCGTGAACCATGAGATCATGACCTGAGCCGAAGTCGGATGCTTAACCTACTGGGCCACCCAGGCGCCCCTTGACACAAAATATTTTGAAGTATATGCATGGAAACTGCTTCAGTTGCCTCAAAAACGTTTGAAATAAAGTGGGGCATAAATAAATGACTGTATAAATGTTGATTCATATATGTTTTCCTATTCTTATTTGTTTATTCATTAATATATTAATTCCAACAAATAAAGTGATTTTCTTATAATGCAATAGTACTATCTATATTAATTCTAAAATGTATTCTTAAATACTTAATATTTATCATACTTAGGTCCTAATCAGATTAATCCTTTAAGAGTTCTGGCTTATTGAGCTACTTGCCAGTTTATTTTCTAACAACAGAATTTCTAACAGTCTTAGTTTAAGATGAAATATCTATTATAGATTAATAAATGGTATCACAAAAAAGAGTTCTAGATCAAATGTTTAGTAAGTGGGTTTAAGATAATAAGCAGTTCCAGATGGGGAAAACTAATACTTGAAATAGTCATAGTGGTAATGGAAGAACCAGAATGTAGAAAAGTTAAAAGTAAAACTAAAAATGACACAAATTATTCTGAAATGGAAAGTGGAAGGAAATGGGTTCCTTGTTGAATTCATGTGACTTGTCTTGTTTTCTGGATATCTTCAATAAAATCAAAGATTTGACATTTTTATTTTTTTAACCACAAACTATCACTGAATTAAAATGAAAGCAGTGGAAATGCCAGTTTTATTTTGAGAATTTCAACTGTACGTGACTTTCTGCCTACAGAACTATTCTGATGCGTAACTAATCTGTGTATCTACAGAATTTTGAGTATAAAATTTAAAAACACATTGATCTCTGTTTAGCATACATATGTGTTCAGTATCTGTGTCTATCTAATGGATGCGCACTTCTTTATCAGGATGAAATAGATTGTCTGCAGAAAGAGGTAGAAGACCTTAAGAGTAAAAATCTCAGCTTGGAGTCACAAATCAAGACTATTCTGGATCCTTTAACCTTGATGCAAAGCAGCCAAACTGAAGACAAACATCCAATTGCAGACAATCCAAGTAAAATTGACCCAGAAACTGTAGCAGAGTGGAAGAAAAAACTTAGAACAGCAAATGAAATCTATGAAAAAGTGAAAGATGACGTGGATAAGTTAAAGGAAGTAAGTTGTGGTTTTAAAAAATTCTATTACAGTTGTTTTTAAAATTATTATAAGTACCTTCAAAAGTATAAATAGGCATATTATCTTGACTCATTAGAAGATGGTGGGAGAAGGACAAAAATGTCTGGATGAGCATTTATAAGCAACAGGAAAACTCTTTCCTCCTTAAATGTCATTAGCTGCCAAGAAATATCAGGCGGTTCCATTTGTGACTATAATTGGAGACTCTGTAGTGCTTCTATATGAGTTTGCATCTTCTTGTAGACAAGTGACATCAGTTTAAAGGATGTGTTTCTATTTCCCCTCTTCGTGGTTTGGCTTAATTTTTCTTAAGCTTATGTCAGTGACTGGCCTGTATGCATAAAAACAAACATGTATCCATTTCCCTACCTATAAAAAGAAAAGTTTGGACTATATATTTTCTAGTACTACCATCCTCTGATTTTCAAGATTGTTAGTAGTTAGGCTTAATGACTAATTCCAAGGAAGCTGTGAGTAGCTGCTTTAGAATACTCCATGCAGAGGAGTATTAAAGCTTATGATGTGGGTTCATTTTTCTTCAGTTATTCTTCCGTTCATCCAACGAGATAAAGAACAGGTGAAAAAGGCAAACCTCTAGGAAAGGAGATGAGATCCATGCCATTAGTACAAGAGGTTATAATTGAGTGCTGTAGAGTTGTTGGCCAAAGGGACCAGCCTTTGACTTTGATTTCAAGTATATCCACAGTGGAGTTTTGTTGGGCTGAATGGAGATGGTTTTGTGGTATCCATGTCTACAACCACCCATTTAACCTATCTGCATTCCCTTAAAATATTGTTACTGTGCCGAATTACTGAATCCTGCCTCCTTGAAATCATTAATGAGCTCCATATGATATTTTTAAAAAGTACCATCACCTACTACCCTCAGATCCTCAGCGAAGTTAAGTAGCATTGAAGTCTGCAACTTAGTGTAAATACTAAACCATCTTCACATACCCATGTATAAAATAAATGTTGTTTGGGCTCAACAAAGGCCAAAATGAGAGAAAAAAGGGAACTTAGTGCTTTTAGAGAAAAAATAAACTACAGATACAATGGTACTGAGTTTGTTACAAATTTAGGGAAAGTGTGTAGTTTCTTTAGATATTGAAGGGCAACATTAGCCTGTTGGTTTGTGTAAGAAGAGGATATGAAAAGGAAAGACAGCTGGAAAGTTATAGTATTTAT